CACACACACAGTTACTAATAGAATTTATGAATTCAGCAAAGTACAAAATCAACATGCAAAAATTAGTTGCATTTCTATACTTTAACTGCAAACCATCCAAAAAGGAAAACAAGCCAATTTATAATAGCATCAAAGAGAGTAAAATACTTAGGAATAAACTTAACTAAAGAAGGGAAAGATTTGCACACCGAAAACTATAAACCATTGATGAAGGAAATTAAAGAAAACACAAATAAATTGAAAAACATCCCATGTTAATAGATTGAAAGGTTTAATATTGTTAAAACGTCCATACTACCAAAAGTTACCTATAGATTCAATGCAACACTTATTAAAATTCCAATGACTTTTTTTTTACAGCTAAAACAATCTTGAAAAAGGACAAAGCTGGAGATATTATACTCCCTAATTTCAAAATACACTCCAAATCTACAGTAATTAAAACAGTATGGTGCTGGTATAAAGACAGACATACAGACCAATGGAACACAATAGATAGCCCAGAAAGAAATCCATGCACATACAGTGAACTGATATTCAGCAAGGTTGCTAAGACTACACAATGAAGAAAGGGTAGTCTCTTCAATATTTGAAAACTGGATATCCACATGCAGAAGAATGCTATCAGACACTTATACCATAATGATAAATTGACAAAAGTCAATTCAAAACTGAATCAAGACTTAAATGTAAGATCTGAAACTGTAAAATTCCTACAAGAAAACCTAAGAGAAAATTTCTTGACATTGGTCTTGGCAATGATTTCTCAGATGAGATGCCAAAATCACAGACAACAAAAGCAGAACAGAAATAAGTGGCATTATATCAAATGGATATTCCTTCTGCACTGCCAAGGAAACAACTAACAGGGTAAAAGGCAACCTATGCAATGGGAGAAAACGTTTTCAAACTACACATTTGATAAGAGATTAATATCCAAAATATATAAGGAACTCTTACAGCTCAATAACCCACTCAAAAAATGGGCTAAGGACTTAAAAAGACATTTTTCAAAGGAAACTTACAAATGAAAAGATGCTGAACGTCATAAATAATCAGAGAAATGCAACTCAAAACCACAATAAGACAGCACCTCATACCTGTTAGGATTGCAATTACCAAAAAGACAAAAGATAACAAGTGCCAGTAAAGATGTGGAGAAATTGGAACACTTGCACACTGTTGGTGGAACTGTAAAATGGAGCAGCTGTTATGGAAACTAGTACAGATGTCCCTCAAAAAATTAAACATAGAACTACCATATGATCCAGCAATCCCATTCCTGGGTATTTATCGAAAAGAATTAAAATCAGGATCTCAAAGAGGTATTTGCACTCC